CACAACCGCCTCTATAGACCCCAAAACCGCCTTTATAGACCCCAAAAACCGCCTCTATAGACCCAAAACCGCCTCTATAGACCCAAAACCCACTTCTATAGACCCCAAAACCACCTCTATAGACCCCAAAACCGCTTCTATAGACCCCAAAACCGCTTCTATAGACCCCCAAAACCACTTCTATAGACCCCCAAAACCACTTCTATAGACCCCAAAACCGCTTCTATAGACCCCAAAACCGCTTCTATAGACCCCCAAAACCACTTCTATAGACCCCAAAAACCGCCTCTATAGACCCCAAAACCGCTTCTATAGACCCCAAAACCACTTCTATAGACCCCAAAACCACTTCTATAGACCCCAAACCACTTCTATAGACCCCAAAACGGCTTCTATAGACCCCAAAACGGCTTCTATAGACCCCAAAACCACTTCTATAGACCCCAAAACCACTTCTATAGACCCCAAAACCGACTCTATAGACCCCAAAACCACTTCTATATACCCCAAAACCACTTCTATAGACCCCAAAACCGACTCTATAGACCCCAAAACCACTTCTATAGACCCCAAAACCACTACTATAGACCCCAAAACCACCTCTATAGACCCCAAAACCGCTTCTATGACCCCAAAACCGCCTCTATAGACCCCAAAACCGCCTCTATAGACCCCAAAACCGCTTCTATAGACCCCAAAACCACTTCTATAGACCCCCAAAACCACTTCTATAGACCCCAAAACCACTTCTATAGACCCCAAAACCACTTCTATAGACCCCAAAACCGCCTCTATAGACCCCAAAACCGCCTCTATAGACCCCCAAACCGCCTCTATAGACCCAAAACCACTTCTATAGACCCAAAACCGCTTCTATAGACCCCAAAACCGCCTCTATAGACCCCACAACCGCATCTATAGACCCCAAAACCGCCTTTATAGACCCCAAAACCTCCTCTATAGACCCCAAAACCGCCTCTATAGACCCAAAACCACTTCTATAGACCCCAAAACCACCTCTATAGACCCCAAAACCGCTTCTATAGACCCCAAAACCGCTTCTATAGACCCCCAAAACCACTTTCTATAGACCCCAAAACCGCTTCTATAGACCCCAAAACCGCTTCTATAGACCCCAAAACCACTTCTATAGACCCCAAAGCTACTTCTATAGACCCAAAACCGCTTCTATAGACCCCAAAACCACTTCTATAGACCCCAAAACCACTTCTATAGACCCCAAAACCGACTCTATAGACCCCCAAAACCACTTCTATATACCCCAAAACCACTTCTATAGACCCCAAAACCGACTCTATAGACCCCCAAAACCACTTCTATAGACTCCAAAACCACTTCTATAGACCCCAAAACCACCTCTATAGACCACAAAACCGCTTCTATAGACCCCAAAACCGCTCTATAGACCCCCAAAACCACTTCTATAGACCCCAAAACCGCTTCTATAGACCCCAAAACCGCTTCTATAGACCCCCAAAACCACTTCTATAGACCCAAAACCACTTTCTATAGACCCCAAAACCGCCTATAGACCCAAAACCGCTTCTATAGACCCCAAAACCACCTCTATAGACCCCAAAACCACTTCTATAGACCCCAAAGCTACTTCTATAGACCCCAAAACCGCTTCTATAGACCCCAAAACCACTTCTATAGACCCCAAAACCACTTCTATAGACCCCAAAACCGACTCTATAGACCCCCAAAACCACTTCTATATACCCCAAAACCACTTCTATAGACCCCAAAACCGACTCTATAGACCCCCAAAACCACTTCTATAGACCCCAAAACCACTTCTATAGACCCCAAAACCACTTCTATAGACCCCAAAACCGCCTCTATAGACCCCAAAACCGCCTCTATAGACCCCAAAACCGCCTCTATAGACCCCAAAACCACTTCTATAGACCCCAAACCGCCTCTATAGACCCCAAAACCGCATCTATAGACCCAAAACCGCTTCTATAGACCCCAAAACCGCCTCTATAGACCCAAAACCGCTTCTATAGACCCCAAAACCGCCTCTATAGACCCAAAACCGCTTCTATAGACCCCAAAACCGCCTCTATAGACCCACAAAACAGCCTCTATAGACCCCAAAACCACTTCTATACACCCCCAAACCCACTTCTATAGACCCCAAAACCACTTCTATAGACCCCCAAAACCGCTTCTATAGACCCCAAAACCACTTCTATATACCCCCAAAACCGACTCTATAGACCCCAAAACCGACTCTATAGACCCCAAAACCGCCTCTATAGACCCCAAAACCGCCTCTATAGACCCCAAAACCGCCTCTATAGACCCCAAAACCACTTCTATAGACCCCCAAAACCGACTCTATAGACCCCAAAACCGACTCTATAGACCCCAAAACCGCCTCTATAGACCCAAAACCGCTTCTATAGACCCCCAAAACCACTTCTATAGACCCCCAAAACCACTTCTTTAGACCCCAAAACCGCTCGTATAGACCCCAAAACCGCCTCTATAGACCCAAAACCGCCTCTATAGACCCAAAAACCGCCTCTATAGACCCCCAAAACCGCCTCTATAGACCCCAAAACCGCCTCTATAGACCCAAAACCGCTTTATAGACCCCAAAACCGCCTCTATAGACCCCAAAACCGCTTCTATAGACCCCAAAACCGCTTCTATAGACCCCCAAAACCACTTCTATAGACCCCCAAAACCACTTTTATAGACCCCAAAACGCTTCTATAGACCCCAAAACCGCCTCTATAGACCCCAAAACCGCCTCTATAGACCCCAAAACCGCTTCTATAGACCCCAAAACCGCCTCTATAGACCCAAAACCGCTTCTATAGACCCCAAAACCGCTTCTATAGACCCCCAAAACCATTTTATAGACCCCAAAACCGCTTCTATAGACCCCAAAACCGCCTCTATAGACCCCCAAAACAGCCTCTATAGACCCCAAAACCACTTCTATAGACCCCCAAAACCACTTCTATAGACCCCAAAACCACTTCTATAGACCCAAAACCGCTTCTATAGACCCCCAAAACCACTTCTATAGACCCCAAAACCACTTCTATAGACCCCAAAACCGCCTCTATAGACCCCAAAACCGCTTCTATAGACCCCAAAACCACTTCTATAGACCCCAAAACCACTTCTATAGACCCCAAAACCACTTCTATAGACCCCAAAACCGCTTCTATAGACCCCAAAACCGCTTCTATAGACCCCAAAACCACTTCTATAGACCCCAAAACCGACTCTATAGACCCCCAAAACCACTTCTATATACCCCAAAACCACTTCTATAGACCCCAAAACCGACTCTATAGACCCCCAAAACCACTTCTATAGACCCCAAAACCACTTCTATAGACCCTAAAACCGCCTCTATAGACCCCAAAACCGCTTCTATAGACCCCAAAACCGCCTCTATAGACCCCAAAACCGCCTCTATAGACCCCAAAACCACTTCTATAGACCCCAAAACCGCTTCTATAGACCCCAAAACCGCTTCTATAGACCCCAAAACCGCTTCTATAGACCCCAAAACCACTTCTATAGACCCCAAAACCACTTCTATAGACCCCAAAACCACTTCTATAGACCCCAAAACCGCCTCTATAGACCCCCAAACCGCCTCTATAGACCCAAAACCACTTCTATAGACCCCAAAACCACCTCTATAGACCCCAAAACCGCTTCTATAGACCCCAAAACCGCTTCTATAGACCCCCAAAACCACTTCTATAGACCCCCAAAACCACTTCTATAGACCCCAAAACCGCCTCTATAGACCCCAAAACCACTTCTATAGACCCCCAAAACCACTTCTATAGACCCCAAAACCACTTCTATAGACCCCAAAAACCACTTCTATACACCCCAAAACCGCCTCTATAGACCCCAAAACCGCTTCTATAGACCCCAAAACCACCTCTATAGACCCCAAAACCACTTCTATAGACCCCAAAACTACTTCTATAGACCCCAAAACCACTTCTATAGACCCCAAAACCACTTCTATAGACCCCAAAACCGACTCTATAGACCCCCAAAACCACTTCTATATACCCCAAAACCACTTCTATAGACCCCAAAACCGACTCTATAGACCCCCAAAACCACTTCTATAGACCCCAAAACCACTTCTATAGACCCCAAAACCACCTGTATAGACCCAAAACCGCTTCTATAGACCCCCAAAACCACTTTTATAGACCCCAAAACCGCTTCTATAGACCCCAAAACCGCTTCTATAGACCCCCAAAACCGCTTCTATAGACCCCAAAACCACTTCTATAGACCCAAAACCGCTTCTATAGACCCCAAAACCACTTCTATAGACCCCAAAACCGCTTCTATAGACCCCAAAACCACTTCTATAGACCCCAAAACCGCTTCTATAGACCCCCAAAACCACTTCTATAGACCCCCAAAACAGCCTCTATAGACCCCAAAACCACTTCTTTAGACCCCCAAAACCACTTCTATAGACCCCAAAACCACTTCTATAGACCCAAAACTGCCTCTATAGACCCCAAAACCACTTCTATAGACCCCAAAACCACTTCTATAGACCCAAAACCGCCTCTATAGACCCCAAAACCGCCTCTATAGACCCCAAAACCGCCTCTATAGACCCAAAACACTTCCATCCACCCCAAACCACTAACATTAAGCCAAACGTTTCATAAACCTGGCTGGGAATGTTGTCCCCGTCCTCCTCTGGGATTGGCCGAGAAGCTGCGGTCGTTATGGGAACAAAGTGAGCGCTGGCGGGCGATTAGCCTGCAGTAATGAGCCGACAGGTGGTCAGTCAGAGCGCAGGTGTTCATCTGTATTCACAGCCCCCTCTGGCTCTGAGACTGGACCAGAACCGTCCAGAACCGGGAACACCACCTCAACCTGCCTGTTACAGTGAGAGTGTGTGTGTGTGTGTGTGTGTGTGTGTGTGTGTGTGTGTGTGTGTGTGTGTGTGTGTGTCACACCTGTCTCTGAATCAGCGCCAGCATCTGCTCTCCCTCCTCCATCAGCCGCTCCACCGTTTTTGGATCTTCCACTTCCCTGTTGGCCCTGAAGGCATCACGAACACGCCGCAGTGCATACGTCCTGCAACACACACACACACACACACACACACACACACACGCTGTGGTTTCATTTATAATAAGGAAAGGCAGGCCAACGAGCGGAGAGGGAGGGAAGCAGGAGCTGCTAAGCCCTGGGAGGAGTTCAGGAGCAAACAGCCGACCAGAGGTGGAAACAGCTCCACACTAAACCAACAGGAAGATAAATTAGAGCCAAACAAACCTCAGGGCGGCGCAATAAAAAACAACAACCGCTTATTTATTTGTTTTTCTGCTCCTCGCATATAAAGAAACCTGCAGCAGCACAAAGAGATGCTGCTGATGAGCGAGCGCCGCAGCGGGAGCCGCTTCCTGCTTTATGAGCACAGTATCCCCCAGGACCTGAGGAAGAGGAGGATGAAGGCTCAGCAGTGACACTGCGGCTTCAGTCGGCAACGCAACGAGATGCAGCAACCAGCCAATCAAAGAGCAGCAGGCCAGGTACTGAAAACCTGGAGGTCATTAATAGCATCAACCTGGGGAGAATAAGATGGGATGGACAGCCTGACCAGCGGACATCCTGTTGATGGACAGAACAGGGATGTTCTGTCCCAGCAGGGGAACTCGGATTGGACGGGTTGACGGACATAGTGAGTGATGGACAAATTAATGGATGGATGGACTTTAAGTTGAGTCGATGTTTTCATTGCTGCTGTCAGAACATCTTGTTTCTGCAGAAACTAAAAGTGTTTCTGAGGCCTGGAGTCCAAAGACAGACTGGAGAGATCCAGATTAGAGTCTGCCTGAAGAGAAGGAAACCAGAAAGACGCGAAGGACGGATCAGAGAAAGAACTGATAGTTACTGTTGTATCTGTATTTATTAATAAGCAGCAGCAGCTTCTGTACCTGTCAGCTCATTGAGGGAAAACCCGACAGCCAGAGACTCCAGACAGTGAATGACTGAACGGCGTGTTTGTGAGAGAGTGAGTCATCCTGTCACGGGAACTTCAGAGGGAAATCTCCTCTCTGATCTTCAGACGAAGAGACAGGAAGGGAAGAGGAGACGAGGAAAGGAGGCGAGGAGACACTGAGACTGGATTTTCACAATCACTTATTCATCACAAAGTTTGTCATCTTGGTGATAAGTTGGCAGTTCTTAGAGCATCCATGCAGCGTGGAGGATGCTGGGTGGAGGGTGGTGGGTGGAGGATGGTGGGTGGTGGATGCTGGGTGGAGGATGCTGGGTGGAGGATGCTGGGGGGAGGATGGGGTGGAGGATGCTGGGTGGAGGGTGGTGGATGCTGGGGGAGGGGTGGGTGGAGGATGGTGGGGGGAGGGGTGGGGGGAGGGTGGGGGGAGGGATGGTGGGTGGGTGGGGGGGGGGGGGGGGGTGGGTGGAGGGTGGGGGTGGGGGGGGTGAGGGGTGGTGGGGGAGGATGCTGGGTGGAGGGTGGTGGATGCTGGGGGGTGCTGGGGGGTGGATGCTGGGTGGAGGGTGGTGGATGCTGGGTGGAGGATGCTGGGGGGTGGATGCTGGGTGGAGGGTGGTGGGTGGAGGATGGTGGGTGGAGGATGCGGGGGGAGGATGCTGGGTGGAGGATGGTGGGTGGAGGATGCTGGGGGGAGGATGCTGGGTGGAGGGTGGTGGGTGGAGGGTGGTGGGTGGAGGATGATGGGTGGTGGATGATGGGTGGGATGCTGGGGGGAGGATGCTGGAGGGAGGATGCTGGGTGGAGGATGCTGGGTGGAGGATGCTGCAGGTGGAGGATATTTTAAGCAGGGAAGTAAAGACATCAGGAGGAAAGAGAGGAGAGACAACAGCAGGATTTAGGACACCTGACAGTCGGGTTGTTCTTAATTACGATAATTCCTCCTTTCCATTTAGAGATCCAGTACATTATAGTAACCAGGAAAACATCATTCCTGAACCCAGTGGGTACCTTGGTTGGTGGTACAGTTAGGGTGGAGCTTCTGGCATTACTCAACACATCCATTGATTGGGACAGAAAAGGTCACGTCTGTCGTTGCTCTTGTTTGACGATGCGTTTGGTGTTTGAGTTCAACCCCTTTTGGTTAACAGTCAGGCTTTTTAAAGCTCAGTGATCGGTGATCTGTGAGAAACCCAACCCTACGTAAAGCCACTCTCCGCCTCATTGGCTTGAACTTTTCCAGATTCTTCTCCATTAGCAGATCAGTTCCTCCCTGTTTTCAGTAAATCACTACACTGACGGCTGACCCTGTTAGTTCATTGGTCACTTTAGACTTCAAGCATCTCAACACCCAATGGCCGGCGGACATCTTGTCTGCCGTCAAAAAGCTTTCTTGAGGTGGAAGAGTGTGTCCTTGGTGAATGTGCATCAACTCTTAGAGCAGAATGATTTCAGCGGGAGAGTCTCTTCAGAAACGAGCAGCGGTGAAGATCCAAGGACCGGTGGTCAACGTTCTGTCAGTGGAACTACGCAACATCGGTTTGCTTTGGTGTGAATTTCATTCCTTGTTTTCATAAAGTTCAATCGCCTTGGCTAGAACCAAACCACACATTAATCAGACGGAGTGAGACTTGATAAAGGAGAAGCAGCTAAAGACTAAAGTCTTCAAGTCCCATATTTGATCTAAGCCAGCAGATCAGCTATGATCCGAGACAACTTCAGATGTAACAGATCAATCACTGTTCATCTGTAAAACCAGGGAATGTTGTTCACTTTTACCAGGAGTCGGTACTTTGGTTTCAGGTCTGCCTGACTTTGCAGAAAACACCACAGAGCTGGAAATGAAACAGTTTGTATTTACTATATTCTGCCTGTCCACCCTGAGCCGACCCAAAGTGCTGAGGTTCTGCTCTCTGCAGAACGCTCTGCTGCTCATCACCTCACTGTTTAACTTTCCTGTGCAAGATCATGAATGTTTCATCTGACTTCTGTTGGTTTCCGTGTTTTCTCTGGTTGACAAAACCTTCCAAAACTCAGGCAGAGTTTTATTCCAGGAAGAGCAGCGAGCGATCGGCTGCCTGGCTGTTAGTGCAGCATCAACAGAACAGCGCCGGCAGCAACGTCTGGCATATTCAGGTCACTCCACAACAACCTGGAAGCTCACAGGTACGGCTCAGAGCAGGAGCAAATCACTCCCACACGCTGCGCTGCTCTGCGCTGCGCTGCTCCCCGCCAGGACAGAGCGGCACTTTGTGTATCAAAGAGGAGGCGCAGCTCAGAGAGGATGGAGATGTTCACAAGCAGCGGCTCCATGCTAGCATTTTATCAGGAGTCTGACGCAGAGACAAGAGATGTCAGTAAAATAGAAATTTTATAGCTTGATTTTAATACGATTCATATTTTTTTATTTCCACTCTGATGTGGGAAATTCCTGAAAAAATGTTATTTTACCAGACACTTTGAAGAGGCTCTGATGCGATCCAGAACATTTTGACTTGTTTCCTTGCAACTGAACCTCGACTAAAATATTAGTGAGGGAAAAAAATGGCTGATTCATAAAACTGATTAGCCAGAAGTCATGACCTTGTTCAGCAGCTCCACAGCAAATGCTGTGATCTAACACACAAGAACCAAGTTACAGCGAATAAAGCAAAATGAACACACTAAAAAATAATAACAGGAATATAAAGCTATCTACACAAAACAAGAAGAGAATAAATTTAATTTTTTTTCCCTCCTAAACACTCAAAGTACACAAAAATATGTATTTAAGTGCTGAAAAAGTGGATTGTTCATAATATGTCTCCGTTAAATCTGCCTCTGTTTTCCTGGGATTGTAACGTGTTTGCTACCACTAGGTGGCGATAATGCCCCAAGTTGTCAAAGCTTCGAAACCTCATGAAGACGTAAACCCAACAGGAAGCCGTCCTTTTATGGCTGATAGAATAAAACTATGCTTTATTGTCCCTCAGTGGGAGGTTTCAGCTTTATCTCATTCACTACGACTCAACAATATTTCAAGTTTTTATGGTTATGAAGATGCTGAAGTAAATCCCAGATCAGCTGACTGGCCGGTTCTGCTCCAGATAAAGTGGTCCACAGGTCGGGTTGTTCCAGAACCCAGAACCTCCAGAATCACCACTCTACCAAGTCCACTCAGTCAGAACTGAACCTCGGATCTCTTGTGATCATTTCACAGAATTTACACAACGAAGATAAAGCTTCGTTTACAGAAGTAAACTGACGACATTTTCATATTTTAATTGGGGAAAAGCTTCTAATTTTGACAGAACGCCTAAACAGCTGGAGTCAGCTGCAGTTGTCATGCCAGGCCATCAGATGGTGCTGTGATTTTAGCATGTCATTGAACACACATGTGCTTTTGACCCTTAGCTTCACCTCAGTCACCCAGCTCCGATGAACCAAGCGCCCATGTAAACCAAGCTGTGCTAAACTGAACAGGTCCAGTATCAAGATGCCACCTGTCGTTGCTTTTGTTTCTATCAGAGTACCTCACACCTCCAGCAGGTGTTACAGAAAAGTTTCACTTGATTCCTCGTTTCAAATCGTCCTGGTGTCAGAACCTCCAGCCACTGGAGAACCAGAACATAGAAGACTATGTGAGATCCAGTTTGAAATATCCAGATTTTTAAAATGTAGTAAGCCCCGCCTCCTGACAAAGTTCGGAAAATGTAACCAAAAGTGGGCGGAGCCAAGAGCCACAAAGGGAAGTGGCCAAATTGGAGGCTGATTGAAGCATGTTAAGGTTTGCCACTTTATCACAATATTCAACTCTTCAGACCCTCTAGAACTTTTTTTCGTCATTAAAACCGACTAGAGACAAATCTAGCAACATTTCTCTTATATGAGATTGGAGACTTTTCTGGTTTTATACCCGAACCAGAGCTGTGACGTAGACTTTAAGATTGAACCGCTGGAACCAATTGGAAAACTGCAATACCACTGTTCGTCCCAAAGAGGGCAGCACTAAGACAGCTTCGAGACAAATATTGCATAGTTTTAAAAAAATGACATACAAAAATCCTATTTAAACAGGAACATAAAGATAGCGCCTTCAAAGGCCAATGTAGACAGTTAATCTGCGAAAAACAATGTTGATTTGGAGTTACTTTGACTGGAGGATTTGATCCATATCTCGAAATAAAACATCAATAGTGACGTTAGATTTAACAAACATTATGATGTAAACTATTTAAAGCAGCAGTTAATTCACCACGACCTGAACACCATCAGATTTAAAACGTGTTTTAAAGCTGATGTTGTGCGCATTAATGTATGCTCACATTGATGGTTTAAACTGCCAGAGCTCATGTTAGCCTGGAAACTGAACCTTCAGGTCTCCTCCAGGACATCCAGCGTTTCATAAACACTGAGCTGCTCCATGTAAACGCAGCGGCTAGCTGCGTGTTTAACCACTGACAGGCGGTTTAAACCGGCCGGAAAGACCGCTCACACCGCCGACAGCCCCGGACTCACCTGTAGTTGTAGGAGGGGAACCTGCTGCTCTCCTTCAGCATCATCTTGTAGAGAGAAATCACCTGAGACCGAGTGGAAGCAGCCATGATGCTACACAGTGCGCGTCTCCGTCCCTCTTTCCGTTTGAGCTCCAGGACCCTTGTTTCTAGGCAACCAAGTCGTGCCTGAATAGAAACAACTATTTCAAATTGTATGTTAATCATAATTTGATTATTTGTTTTATATTAGAGAAACTTTGGTTTAAAATGGAAAGATTAATAATAATAAACATACATTGTGACGTAAAAGAATATTTATTGTCTTTAAGCCGAAGAGGCGCATCTCCGCCTACTAAACAGCAGCCCAACACAGAAGAGAGACAGAAGGTGAGTTAGCTTTGCTATAAATATGTTTTTAAGTTGAGAAACATGAGGCTTCAATGAATGAACTACACCTCCAGGGTTAAATTATTCACTACACCCCACTACCTGCTGGTGGTTCGGCTTTTCACGGCTTCACTGTACACAAAAAGCGTCTTTGACAACCTTGCTGCAGGGACAACTGGCTGAGCTGCAGCTGCTTTAAATGAACTTAACCTCCATGGTCATACAGACACAAAGCTATTTAAACCTCCGACAACCTTTAAATATACAGCGAGTAGGTTCTGCTGTGACCATTGTTAACTGGACTCTACTGAACCAGAACCAAAAAGTAACAAAGCTACATGTTCCCAAAACGGAACTAAGGCTTCACTTCATTAATCCGAGTTTATCAATTCAAAAATATTTGAATTAAAGGAAAAACTAAATGTAATTGTAAGAATATTTATTTGGCCTATGATGCTGTGTGCGGGAAGGCTCTCCTGTAGCAGTCTGTCGTGCAACACAGTCAAAGAGGCCTCTGACTGAAGACTGTTGCTGTATAGCAGCCTAATGGCAGCTCTGACATGCTAACAGCTCAATATCCAGGCAACAGAGATGATATTTTACAGCAACACGTCCTGAATGACTCCATCAACTCTTAGCTAGCTATGCTAATCCACCTCTTTTGCTTTTGCTGCTCCTTTTTAAATCTGTCTGGTCAGAAAGATGGACAGAGAGATGTTGGAGTAGGGGATGTGATGCTTTAAACTTCCTCCTCCTTTCTGTGTCCAGGAAGCCTCCCTTTAAACTGCTCTTGGATTTGGGGTCATAGGTCAGGAAGATGCAAACCAGCTGCTCAATATTGAAAGAACTGTCTAAACAAAATCTCTAAAATGCCATTGGTGATCTTTTCCTGATGATGAGGTCTAAATATTGTTCCAATGGGTTTAAACCAGGTCACTATCTGTGTGTGTGTGTGTGTGTGTGTGTGTGTGTGTGTGTGTGTGTGTGGTCTGATCTTTAGCCTGGATGTGTAAAAGGTCACAGACACATCCTGACTCCTGATATCCGTCTGTCTTTGAGAGTAAAGGTCACGGTTCCGGCTGTGTGTGTCAGCCCATGTTGGTTCTTTGTTGGCGCTGATGCGACCCGGTCCATTTTTAGACAGGTGTTTGCTAAAACCCAGCCAATACACATGTTGACTTTTTCATGGCTTCACTGTACACATAAAGCGTCTTTGGCAACCTTGCTGCAGAGACAACTGGCTGACTGTTAGAACTAACACAGCTCTTAGGTCTAAATGATTTTTAGACTTTTGTCTCATCTTTGTGACATTTTTCTCATTTTCTGGTCCTTTTTTATCCATTATTTTATCTTTGAGTTTTGATTTTAATTTGTCCTATTTTTTTCATAAGTTTTCAATATGTGGAAGCCAAAAAATCTCAAACATTTGTGAAGGAAGTAGTTTGTGACTTTTATTTTAAAAAGTGTTTTGGCTATATTTTAAAATGCTATAAGCTAAACTTTCCATAAATCCTGACTTCTGCAGAACTTAATTCTCAAATTAAAAGGTTTAAACAGAAGCAGTTCTCAGCGGCTGACATGGCGGTTCTGGAGGGAATCACCAGAAACAGAAAACTTCTATTTTAGAGAAATGCTGAATAATATTGCAGTCCATACATATTTAAACCCATTTCTGAAACTGCTTTTCATTCACCCCCTAAACTTTATCATGTATGAACATCACAGTGTGAATCATGTTAGCCTGCATCTGAAGTTGTCTGTCTTCTTTACCTGTTTGGGGTTCAGCCAATCAACAGCAAGGAAAATAAATGCCACTTCTGGATTGGCTGCTTTTCAATCGCCAACCAATAGCTTGTTAGGCATAGCTATAAAAAATAGATTTTTTTAGAATATCTTGGCTAAACTCTACAAAAAACAGAAACAGGTGAATTTTTGTAAGTATTTAGGAGGTAAGTTGCACAGAATAGGCTGCGCTCTGCTGTTACCTGGTTTTAAAGACAGGTGAACCAGAAGAGCACCTGCATCATGATGTCAGAACAGCTCAGCTTTAATCAGAGGAAAAACGGACGGTACCGAGAAGAGAACCCTGTGGCGCCCCACATGGCCGAGGAGGATGGATTATTAATTATTATGGATTATTAATCTTAATTAATGGCCGACATCATCAGATAAAGTCCAACTGTTGGAATTCTGATCGTAAGAGCTGTGAAAGTCCAAACATGACCAAATATTATAGAGACACAGATCACTTCCTGCTGTTCCTGAGAAAAACAGCAAGTTTAGTAAATAAATGGTTGGAGATGTTTGTTTCCTCCGGTGTCTGTCAGGAGCTGAGTGACGGATGGCTCTGCTCTCTGATCAATAAAGGAGGATTTCCTTCAGTCCCAGCCGACCGGACCGACTCATCCAGACTCATCCTCTGAATCCTGCAGATCAGCAGCAGCTTCTGGGCCGCAGCACCTCTCATCCTGCGTCACGCCTCATTTCCCAGTCCCAGGTCGGCTCTGATCACTTCCTGTCAGCTTCAGCTGCACCAGGACCCAAGAGAACCTGCACCGTTCTGCCCAATAACAGCAAAGGCAGGAGCCAGGTTACAGGGAATCACTGGCAATAGCTCCGGTTCCGAAGCAGCTGGTTTATATCAAAGCGCTAAAGCGCTACATCAGAGACTCAAGGAGGACAGGCTGCATAAAGACGGGCGGGTGGAGGCTTGGGAACGGAAGATCCGGGCTTTAGCGGCTCCATGCCTGCAAGGGGGCAAATTCACCTCATGTTATTTAGAACTGCCAGTGGTATTTATAACTGACACACCCGCGAAGCCGCTAACAGCAGAGCTAACGGAGTTTAGAGGTTTTGACAACTTTGAAAATATTAGCGAACTTAGCTTCCCGTAATTAATTTGTTTCTAATAAACTAATTTATTTCCGTTGAATAAAGTTTGGCTGTTGTTTTAGTTATGAACTGTTTAAGATTCAAGTAGAAGTTTACCTTCATGCTTTTATTGTGAAGTCTGTTTTACTAGCATGTCATAGTGGCATCAACTGGTTGAATTTTAGCAATTTAGCATTTGCTTCTGCTAAATCAGATGATGTTGTAGCACTTAAGTGTTAGCTTAAACTAAATATTATGTTGTATTGCTTTAAAATTAGAATTAAATTAAATACTGTGTTTTTGTAGCGCTTTAGCATTTGCTTCTGATAATTTCTGTGTTGTAGTATCCTAATGTTAGCTTCTGCTAAATACTGCTTTAGCGTTAGCAGAACTACTGTCTTCTCTTAGGGCTTTAGGGTTAGCGCAGCTAGCAGAGTTAGTGCAGCTAGCTTTTAGCTCCCTTAGCTCTCCTCAGAAGGTAAGGCTTTGGGCCTGTTGTGCAGCGGTTTGGCGGCGCGGCGCTCTGCTGCTGAACCCTGCGAGCTGATTGGATGTAATGAAGCCTGATGGTGGGAGCAGCTTCCCTCTCAGCCCTGATGACCTGCTTTGATTCTCCGGCTGCTCGTTTCCGTCTCGCTGAGCCGTGAGCTGCAGATTGAGTTTTCCGTCTCCTTTCCACCTGGCAGATCAAGGACCGCGGCGTCCTGGCCATCGATCGCTTCCTCCAGTGTTCAGACGGCGGAAGAACTGTCTGGGACCCGAGCCGGCCTCCTCTGTGGAGAGAAAAACCAGCCGGTAAACTCTGACATTTACAGTCGTGTTCAATAAAACTGGTGTTCAGTCTGCGCCGTGAAGGAGCTCCAGGCCTCCTGAATGTCAGTCCGGCTCCTCGGGTTGAATTACTCAACGATTCCCAACGCGCCGCCGGCCGCTGTGTTTATTGTCAGGCTGACGCCATGGAAACCAAGACCTTGACCCCCAGGGTGACCTCAGCTTTGAACTCTGACCTTTTCCAGGTCCTCTGACTCCAGAAGCTGCTCTGGAGAACAAACAAAAAATGGAATAATTTTCCAGGTTATAAGTGAAAAAATCAGAGCTTTTCTCTGACATTCTGGAATTATTTAATGAAACTCGTACATCTTGTTGAAAAGTGAATTTGTCTTGATTGGACTGAACTCAGATATTTTCAGTATGAACTAGATAAAAGGTGTTTATTGTTTTACAGTGCATTTGTTGGTGACAGAGCGTCTGCTGGACGTTCATTAATCTGGACGAGTCGCAGCTCGGCGCCTGCAGCAGCTCGGCGCCTGCTGCAGCTCGGCGCCTGCTGCAGCTCGGCGCCTGCTGCAGCTCGGCGCCTGCTGCAGCTCTCGGCGCCTGCTGCAGCTCGGCGCCTGCTGCAGCTCGGCGCCTGCTGCAGCTCTTCCTCTCTGTCCTGTTTCTGGGATCCGTTCTCTCTCCGATACATCGGTGTTGATGTCGGATCAGTTGATCTGGACTGATGTTAAAGACTGATACTTGTTTCCATCGTGTTGGATGCAGAGCAGGATCGTGGAGTTTAACTGCGTTTGGTTTCACTCTGGTGAAAGTGAAAGGAGATACTTATGATATCAATAAATATCAATTATCGGCCATAACAGATTTTATTATTGATGGATCACCGACCGTCTCCGTCCATCAGCTCCTGACTGGACCCTGATTGAACCAGAGCTCTGCTTCTGTTACATGTTGAGTTTCTGAGCAGCATGCGGTTCTGGTTCTGTGGTTCTGGTTCTGTTGGTGTGAATAAACTTGTTTTCTGCAGAAAGCTCTGGGTTTTCCTGGCGCTGCGTCTCTGTGTGCTGGTGTCCTCCATCTGTTGAAGGAAAGCCTTCCTGAACCTGCTGAGCCTACCTCACACACACACACACACACACACACACACACACACACACACACACACACACACACACACACACACACACACACACACACACACACACACACACACACATGGTTATATAACCTGTGAAATTCACTCCCATCGTGTCAGAACTCGGTGAAATCAGGGGAAGGAAAAACCGGTGCAACATCCAGCTTCATCCATTCAGCATTTTCAGCCTCTTTCCTTTTAAATCTGCTTTTCTGTGACCTCTGACCCCTCAGTGAAGTCTGAAAGTGTCGTCTTCTGATTGTTAAAAGCTGTGAAAATCAAACCTGAAGGTGCTAATTAGAGGCAGCAGAGTGTCGGGCCCCGAGGGCCTTCAGTCAACCTGCTGAAGAGTTTCAGTTAGCGCGGAGCGGCCATAAACGTTTTGCAGCTTTCCATGTTCAGCCAATCCTGAGCGAGTTAGCGCTGCAGTGGCGGCGCAGCGAGGAGGTTAACAGCTGCTCAGGTGGTTTCCTCACCTTCTGCAGCTCCTGCAGCAGCAGGAAGTGACACGGCATCAGGCTTAGAGAGCTTAGCTTCTGTTAGCCTCTGATGCTACCGCAGGCATCAAGCTGACCTCTGACCTGGTGCTACAGGTCTGCTAGTCTAAATAGAACAGCAGAACGAACCGCTGTGGTTTGGTAGAGACTATCATTTTATTGAGTTGTTCCGGCCGATTCTGGACCCGGTCAGCCGATTTTAATGATCTTCATTCTTAGAAGATCAATATAAATCAGCTTTAGTCCCACTGAGGAGGAGGAGGAACTTGGCCCAACATTGAACCAGAACCGGGTCGGGCCGGTTCTGGTCTGTTCTGGTTGGTTTAGGTTGCTAAGCAGAAAACTCGTTAAGCCCGGTAAAAATATTAAAAGTCGACAGGAAATCTGAAAATATGACAATCTGGATTCCTAAACATAAAAAGTGTAAATGAAAATAAACCAGTTTTTGCAGTTTCATTAAATCCTAATGAATTAAAGGGCCAGTTATGTAAACGATGATTGATGATGAGTCAGCAGATTAGTCATTCAGGTATTTATTATTTAGATTAGCTGATTTTTTTATGGCAGTTTGAAATAATACCATACCAACTTTATTTATGAAGCACTTTAAAACAACCACAGCCGAAACAAAGTGCTGTACATAAAATAGATAAAAAACAAATACAGTTTAAAACAACAAACATACAATATAAAACTAGATCTCGCTGGAGTTGAAAGCCAAGTAAAATAAATAGGTTTTAAGACGAGCTTTAAAATAATAAAAAATAAAAACTTTATTCTTTCTTCACACAGATTCAGCCTCAATGAACGCTTAAATCAAATCAGATGCTCTCAATATGCTAACATCCAAGCTAGCCAGCACGCTGCCTCATGTGCTAACTGTGCTAACAGCTAATGCTAGTTAGCGTTAGCGGTGCCGTGGCCTCAGCGGGTGAAGTCGCTGACCGGAGGGGAGAGCTGCAGCCTCATCAGTTTGTTTCAGTGGATCAGATTCTGATTCATTCATTAATATTCATGTGATAAACTGACTTTATGTTCAAACTCATGTTATGATTGTGAAACTTCTGGTTAACGGGGAGTTCTGCTCTCTCTCTGTGTCTCTGCGCTGTGGGGAACGTCAGGTCAGGTTTTCCTGTTTCTGGTGGATCAGCGTTTCCT